CTTACTGGAACTACATGTTCTCGACATCCATACCTTCTAATTTGTTCCACAAATAATCTCTAATCATTGTCCTGTATTGGCCCTTTTATTGGCCTGACAAAATCGGTAGTGACAGACCTAATTAAAGAACATTCCCTTGTAAAATTCAAGGAAAGATGAGATAAAACAAGAAACTGCAAAGTTGCGAAGGAGCTCTTAAGTTATCCTGACAACACTACAGCAAACAAATACTTGACTATGACTAGACAGAATCTGTGCCTACTCACAGGCATTCTGACTGGTCATTGCCAAGTACGGAAGCATCTCCATATCATAGGGCTGTCAGAATCTGCACTCTGCAGAGGGTACGAACAAGAAGATGAGACCATCGAGCATATCCTTTACGATTGCTCGATGCTCTGATTTAATAGATTTGTGTTCGACGAATATCGGCTAACACCGGCCGATATAAGAGAAGCACCTCTTGGCGACGTTGTCAACTACATCAAATCTGTAGGCTGGCTCACGAGCTAAGAGGTGCCTATCATCTTAGGAGGATGCACAATGGGCCTAGTGTGGCCTAAGTGCCGTGGGGGGTAACCCACCCTCCACATGTTACAGATACAGATTGTCCTGTATCGCGTCTATTCACAGTTATCGCATCGCCAGCTTCATTTTGGAAAAAATAAGGACCAATAACGCCACCAGACGAAAAACCACACCACACAGTCACGTTTACTGGATACAGTCGTTTTCCAATATTTTTCTTGGATTTTCTTCATCCCATATTCCGCAATTATGCTTGTTTAGGTAGATTTCAAAATGGGCTTCGTCGCTGAAGATGATTTTTCTTGCCTTCTTTCTAAATTCCAATTAACAAACATACGACGTGCCACATGATCGTTTTGTTTTAAGTCTTGACTAAAATGTATCTTATAAGCTTTTAAATTAAGCTCTTTTTTTTTAAATGTTATGCAAACTCGAACTGACATTTTTGTGATTACACCAACACTAGCCCTTACCGCAGCAATGTTCTCTTCTGATCGGGCAACACAATTATAAACACGACGCATGTTAACTTCTACTGGCCTAGTCTGTTGAAATCTCTTTATAAAAATCTCAATAACTTTAACAGATGGTGCTAAATTTCTTCTTGTTATTTCAGCAAAACATTCCTAATTTTGTTAACAAGTGTTCACAATAAAAATGCGGACAGTTGTTCCATGTTGACTAAAAAACAAGTATCCGAAAAAGATTTTACTTGACATATATCACCATAGAAAAACTATCAATAAAGATTACTATAAATGGCGGTCAATTTAAATCGGAATGTCAAATTCGGACACCCAATATATTGTATTCAAAGAAAGTTTTATTTATTAAAATATTTATCTCAAAGCATCATAATCAATTAAATTTGTTTTTACCTTAATTATATTATTTAATGTAGATAATATTGTTTGTATTTTTAATTAATTATTATTATTCGTTTCCTATTTCTAAATTCTAAATTACCCAACCTATCATTAATTTCCAATGTACGATGTAACAATAAATAAGGTTTCTTTATCTGAACGCTCCCATCAATTATTCCAACACCAACCCTCGTCAAATAAATTTTACCACTCTGTTGGTTGACAACCCAAAAACACCGCTTAGCATAGCTTGGAAAATCTGTATTCCAAACTCAAAAATGATGCTGTAAAATTCTGGAAATTAGACTGTAATGTCACTTGTCACATCACCCTAAAGTGTGCTGTGGTCGTCCTAAGTAAAAGTACGAGTAAAATATGAAGAGAATAATCTAGAAATGTCTGGAAATGTTATTCCCTGTCAAGAAAAATCTGGACGGTTCGAGAAGGTTCAAGTCGATGATCCTGACGCCAGGGGTCAGTTTTATGATATCAGTTATATAATTGAATTGAAATAAATTGAGTTACCAAAAATCAGCGCAACATTGTTGATAACGGTAAGATCCAAATCAAAAAGTTCATGGTAAATACTAGATCCACTGAGTACGAAACAGGCATGGAAACTTAAGGCCCCCAGCAAAGTTTTTGAAGATGGAAGAGGAGAAAGAAAGACGTAGAAAAGAACTTTTAGCATTGTCAAAGCTCTTGAATACTTCCATACTTACCATTTTAACATAGCGCCTTGCAGTGGCTGATGAATTTTAAAAAACCTGAAGGACCAGGATTCCACACCATCGTACAAGATTTAATACTATGTAGGTACTTTTTAAATACAAAACAACACGTTTCTAGTAGCGGAGTCCCTTTAACTTTTATTTTTATTTGCTGCTGTAGCGGAAAGAGAAATACATATTCTTTGAAAATTTCAATTGTCGACCTATTACAGATCGTGAGATACAGCCAGCTGATAGACAGGTTGGTTACTCTTTGGATACGGAATCCTAATAAAAGAGGTGCATACATACTATTACTTATAGGCTGCGATTGATTAGTTGTTGGGTTTGTTGGTTATTTGTTACTTTACTGTTTGTTTACAATATAGGAATCATAAATTTTTTTGACCTCTAGTTTTCGAACGATTTTTACGTTTTGAGGTCCCTTGAATTCGTTTTGACTATTTTCATGATGATGTATGTGTGTGTCTGTATAATCAATAACTCATGAATGGATTAAGAGAAGAACACAAAATTTTATATATAAACTGTAATCCATCTTGTGGTGAACTAGTTAAATTTTGGTCATAGTCGGAACATCTGGGGGTTCTCTTTATTTTATAGAAACATCTATTATTTAACCTTGGAGAAGAAAATTCTTCAACTAAAAGTTGCTTGTAATATAAATTTAACAAAAAGTGCAAATTCGAATGTTTAAGAAAACTTTTCAAATAAAAGTGGTGCGATATTATTCCCTATAATTTTTATTCCATACACGATACCTCTACTATGAACCGCAATGGAAAAAATTGAGGAAAAGTTTAAAATCTTAATTTTTCAGTATTTTCGTTGACAATGAATACATATAAAAGAATGCTTCCAGTAAGATAGTGTGGAAAATGTATATATTTAGTTCATCCTTTAAATGTTTACCAGGGTGATACAATAGGATGTACAAAATAACCGGAATAAGCTTAAAATTACTGGACAGGAAAGTCATGTGTTGGATACATTCCATTTTTATTCTAGTTTTATTTGGGAACACTGCCACTGACTATTATTTTCACTCGTTAAACGTTCTTGTATTCTCTATTGGAATGAGAAATATCGACAAGTATTAGAAAACACATATTTCCGATGGGATAAAATAATTGAAAACCCACTGGACCATGAGAATTGCCAACGGTAAATGCGATATTGATTTTTTTTTTTTTTCAGAAACAGAAGGTATCACAGTTTTCGTTTTTTTATATAACAACAATTTCTACTCGTTATATAGATCTATCTAAATCTGTTTAAAGGAAAATAAATTTTGAGGAGTTAACGTAGAAACTTTTAAAATACAGGGTGTTGCACAAAATACTGCTTTTCTTATTTTTAAAGGTTTTCTACCGGTTTAATGACATAGAGAGATAGGTCTTACATTTATTTAATATAATAGTAAAAATTCAGGACACATCGTTTATACGGGGTGACTCGTTCAAGCCGAAAAACAATATATGCCTTCTGTAACAACATTTACTAGTCACACTGTATAAAATAAGATGTATCATGAAGAAGCAATTACTTAAACTATATTTTCATAAAATATTAGTATCAAATTTCTTATGAGAAATATGATTACAAAAAAGTGGCATTTTCGATGTTTAACACCCTGTACATCGAACCGGTTTGGGCCAATGGACTCTTTTTGTCAGAGTATCGAGTGACACAACATATCAACATTTCCAGAATGCCATTTTTACTTAAGAAATGTGTCTGGTCCTTTGAATGACACAGGACAGGATAATAACAATTGTACGTAGCTTACCGTCCAGTCATTTTAGCTAGAAAGCAAAACTATCATATATCATTCTAATAATTTGAAGGTAAAACGGATTAAAATTAAACATTACAAATTATTAAAATAACAATTTTACATTTTAATCATTACCAAATGTTCTAAGGTTCTTTATACGCCCACCCTAGTGGCTATACTACCTAATGAAAATAATTATAATACCAATTTCATATCAGAAGCCATGTTACGCTAATGAAAATTTTGCTTTATAATTATTTTAAAAGCAAAGAGCACATGAAAATATTATGCAGCATATTTCATGTGCTTTTGGCAGCCTCTCCTGGTAGTAATGTACAAGTATAAGAAAATAATATTTGTATCATGTCATTTAGTTAATTAATAACACAGGTCCACCAAAAAAAAGTGGTCTGTGCTGGGTGTTCGACAAAGATTTTCCGACGTATTTTTTACCGCTGAACACGAATCTGTAATTATGTAATACAAGAACTAGAAGAGCTTTCTCTGGCTTCTAGTAAATTGGTATCACAAATGTTCCCGGCTGGCGTAAATATTAGATATTAATTTTTTTTGCAAGATTTATAAAATATTAATTTTTATTTTATCAGTGTTAACTATTTCATTATTAAGCTATTGCATAGATTTTATCGCGGGCTTTGGGCGCGGCGACCGAATCAAGAAATTCTGTAAAAAAAATCGAAAAATCGAAAAATCGAAAAATCGAAAAATCGAAAAATCGAAAAATCGAAAAATCGAAAAATCGAAAAATCGAAAAATCGAAAAATCGAAAAATCGAAAAATCGAAAAAAGAAATTCCGTAACGAAAATAAACCTAACACCCCCCACTCCGATTTTGTTGTATTTTCCCACAATTACAACCTATAAGCTGGCCAAAAAAATCATTTTTTACCAGATAGATAGGTTTATAAAGTCAACGTTAAATATTAGTCAAAATATGAAATATTCTTAGGCGGTACATTAGGTATTAGCAAGCGGGCGGCCGACATCCTAAGATCGACCCTGTGTAGAATGATTCATCCGTGAATACAACTTTTATAGTATTTAATAATTAGCAGGATAAATCAAATATGTACTTACAATCCTACCAAATTTTTCAGTAAATTGTATGATAGTTCCAACGATGCAATTTTCATCCTTCATGCAACTCTCGTAACTGTTTTTGTCATTGGGAAGGTCATCTAAATTAGCCACTACCGATCCGGCTGTTTTCCAGTAGTTAAAATCGATTGAATATCTAGCACAATTTTGTCTTATCCAGCATCCAGATCTGGCATGACAAAGACACTTAATGCACGGGTATAATTCATGACTCAGCCAATCTTCAATACCTACAAAAATAGAAAGTTGGAATCAGTGATTAGTTCTTTCGTACAAAATATAACAAATTAGATCAAGTGTCGCATATCAAATTTAAATTCGAAGTGATGCATATAAATACAATGTTTAAAATATCAAAAACCTATTTTTCAATAAAATATCTGAATTTTTAAAATTTTACGTTGAATATGTTTACGGTAAAACACTTTACAAACAAGCTTTGAACGAGATAAAACTACTAATAGAACAAAATGAAACATTGCAGGTACAAAAAAAAGGCTTTATCACAGTTAATGAAGAAAGAAACAACATAAAAAAAATGTAGTCCGTCTAACTCTGATTAGTTGCCATAGGAATGGATTGGCTTCTGCCTAAATCCAAAATAATAAAAAGCGTAAAGCAACAGAAACACCAGAGAAAATCGAAGAAGGTCCTTAAAAAGAGACAACTAGAACTATTAGAGCCGTTAAGCTACCAGCGGTCATTTTATGCAATGTAAAAGACTATTATATAGTCAATTAGAAACTAAAACCTAGAAATGATGAATACAAGACAAGTATGATGAATATCCAATGGATTTAAATTAATATTAGTACTATAAAAAGAAAGTCTTACTTTTATTTTCAATCTTGCACCTCATTGCTTAACTCCTTTGGTAGGTTCTTGGGATTTTGTACATGTAAAGACGTCTCTACTAGCACCCAAAATCCTAAGATCCCAAGGCAATAAGAAATAATAAATTCATTCAACAGTGTAAAAGGTGCCGAAAACATGGACACACATAGAGATTTTACATATCAATTGCTTAAAAGCTCATCCTGCAAATTACAGAGAATATACTTTTGCTAAAGAGCTACAAAAAAATAAGAGATATCTCTAAAGCCAAGAAACCTACTACCCAATTAAAATCGATTAATTCAAACCCAGTGAGATCTGGTGTCTCTTTTTTAGAAGTAGACTAAAATGTACCATTAGAGCCCACATCTGCTTCATCATTGACATATTTAGTTATCTTACAATTATACAGAGTATCATGGAAACTTTTGAACGAATCAATGACAGGCTCGACACACTAGCACCCAGGCAGTAAATTTTATGGTTTTTAAATAGCTAAGAATGGCTACATGGAATACCAATAGCCTTCTTAACAAAAAATTTGACTTAGACTTAACACCGAACATATGGATGTATGGCTTATATCTGAGACGCATGACAAGTCAGTCCTATATTAGGATAAGAGGTTGTAAAATATATCATACTATTCATCCAGACGGTCAAGCCAAAGGTGGTAATGCCGTTATAATTAAGGAATCAACTAATCATTTCAAAGAATGTTACTTAAAATGGGTAGATATTTAACTTGGAGTGATAGGCATTAATTCTACAAAGCAGAAATTAAACATTGGTACAGTTTACTGTCCACCCAGGTACTATGTTAAAGAATTAGCCTTCTTTAATATTCTAGAGACCTTAACGCTAAACATGTTGACTGGTATTCAGATTAACTACCACCAAAGCTAGTGAATTAACTAAAGCATCCCGTCAAAAGAGTTGCAATTATCATTCCACAAGTAAACCTACTTACTAGCCCGCAGATTTAAACAAAATCCCTGACTTACTAGATTTCTTTATTTCAAGAAAAGTTTCTCCTAACTTTATTGAAGTTGAAGAAAATTTTGATTTAGATCCTGATCATTCCGTAGTTTTTACCTTAACTGAAACATTTATTAACCAACCAACTTACCAACAGAACTACTAACTGAAAAAGCTTTAGAATTGAACTTAAAACAAGATTACCTTTTTGACAATAAACTACCTAGTTGAGATAAGAGAACTTGTTAGAGAAAAAAGAATAGCAAGAAGAAGATGGCTACAATCTAGAGATCCATCTTATATGAGGCTATTTTAAACAATTAAACTCAAAAACTGAGAAGAGGAATTTAAAATCTCAAGGAACAATTAACAAATTCATGCCTACAAAACATTTACTTTTACCAAATGAAGAGGCAGATTACTCTCTGTGGAAAGCCACTAGAAAGATTAAAAACCTAGCTGCAACCCTTCTATCAGAAGAGATAACGGAGTATGGGTCAGCGACAATAAACAGAAGGCAGACTTGTTTGCTGAATATTTGTCAGACGTTTCTACACCAAATCATAAATATGCAGGAAGAAAATAGTATGCCTACAATAGAAAATAAAAAATCCGAAAACATCATCTTGATACACCGAAGAAGTAGCAGAAGAGATTAAAACTAACCTTAATCCGAAGAAAACACCAGGCTTCGATTTAATTACTGGTGAAATCTTAAAACAATTGCCTAGAAAAGGTATTGACATTTGACATACTTGTTTAATGCAGCTTACAGACTAAAACATGTTCCTGCATACTGGAAACTTGCATAGGTAATAATGTTGCAAAAATTAGAAAACCGCCAAATGACAATATAGAATTATTGTATGCCCATTTCACACTTATCAATTAAGTCAAATTATTTTCAAAATCACTGCTAAAGATATTAAGACCTCTGATAGAAGATACAAAATTCATACGTGTTTTTTTTTCAACTTTAAGAACATACAAAATCCTAATTATCTAGGTTTAACATAAAAGACAAATTTGTTTTGACGGTCGACACTCTGTATTTGGTTTTAGGTATTATCTACCAATCAATTTAGTATACAAAATCCTCTCGATTAGCAAAAGTAAAGGAGTAATAAGTAAACAGACCGAATACATACATAAATAAAACAAAGCTCTAGAGGTCACTGCTTACCTTCGGATTCGATAAGGACTAGGGCGAAAACAAACACAAGCACTAGGGATTTCATCTTTGGCACAGAAAACTCTCCAGACTGATTTATTTAAATAATTCAAAACCTTTTTATATGATCATAACCACAAACTAAATAAATGTAGTATACCGGGGTGATACAATTTTTAGTAACCTACTGAAGTCAATTTGAGGTGATCTTAAAAATTATTATAAAAATATAACTAAAACTAAATACGGGACAGTAGGAACATACTTGACAATGCATTAAAATTAATAAAATTTTGTATAGAATTTTAACATTTATTTTAGTAAAATAGCATTTAATTTTTAGGCTACAATTAAACCATTTGTGCCTCCGAGAAAATACTTATCTTCCCTGCGCAACATCTACTCCCCCGAGGGGGAAATCTCTCGTTTTTGTTTGGCTTATTCGATCACCGTTGCCAAGTTTGATAGCGCCAGTTGTGACACTTTCTGACATCACATTTTGGTTTGTATTTTAGGAACAATATACATATTTATAGTGATGTGAGAGTTGTATATGTATATTTGAGATTTATAATTTATAGGAACTCCTCTGGCATCAATAAATAAATAAATAAATATGATTTATTTTTCATAAGACAATACAATTGTATGGGATTCGTCAAAATACAAGTAAATAAAATAAAAATATGATAAAAGCATAAAACTAGAAAATAGAATAATATATGGGTAGGACTTATACGAGTACATCAAATTTATAAGATTCAGCGAGATCATAAAAACAATATTCTAGTAGAAAACCTTTCAATTTTCTTGAAAAATAAAAAATGAATTACTTTCCTTTATTGCAAGAGGAAGTCTATTTGGGCCCCAAGTAATTTGGCGCATTACATGTTACCTTGAGTCGTGCATAAGGTATATGTAGTTCGTCAGCCTGTCTGGTTTCATACCTGTGTACATTTCTATTAGTTACAAAAATTATATTGTGTTTGTAAGTGTATAGGCACATTTCAAAAATAAAAATACAACAAAGGGGTAATATGCCATATTCCTTGAAGTATGGTCGACAAGAGCATCTTTGTGAGACCTTAGCAATGCTTTTCAGGACCCTTTTTTGAGCAAGAAAAACATTTTTAGAGTAGGTTGAATTTCCCCATAATCATACACCATATCTTAGATGTGAGTCTACTTGTGCAAAATACACCATAACTAATTGACGAATTTCAAGTATATACCGTAAATTGATAAAAAGAAACTTTAGCGAGTTAATTTTTTTGACCAGTCCTCTGCAATGGGGTTTCCAATCAAGGTATTGATATATTTGGATTCTTAAAAAGCGAATCCATTATTAAATCCCATTATGAAATCTAAGTACCTCAACCTTATTAGCAAGGCTATTATCAAGGCTATTAAAGTAACTTGACATTTTTTGAGCGATGTCAGAGCTCTCTCTATTTAATAGGTCCGTATTTTTAGATGAAATTATAGCCGAGAAATCATCTCCATAGCTTACATAATGATTATCACCTATTATTGAGTCAACATTGTTTACATACAGTATGAACAAAATGGAACTTTGAGGAACTCCCATATTATTATCTAGTATCAGAATTAATAGTATAGATTTTGTTGTCGTTTTATACTTTCAACGAAATATATTGCTTCCTAGCACGTAAAAAGGTTGAGATCCAATTTAAAACAGTGTCTTTGATTCCATATTTCTCCAATATATTCAATAGCAACTCATGGTTTACACAATCAAATGCTTTACTGAGATCACAAAAGTTAGCAGCTGGACATTCAGATTCCTCCAAATGGTGAATAATTTTATTGTAAAATAAAAGCATAGCCGTTGTTGTTGATTTTTCAGCACAGAATCCATGCTGATTTCCTGTTATAATGTTTCATCTTTTCAAGAAAGACAGAAGACGGTCAAGAAAGGCATATTTAAATCTTTTCAAGAAAGACAGAAGACGGTCAAGAAAGGCATATTCAAAGATTTTAGACAGACCACAGGGAATAGCAACAGGACTATGTTTTCTATTTGTCTACGATCATTTTTCTGCAATGGTAAAACTTTCCCCAGTTTTAAAGCTTGAGGAAAACTGCCCATCTCAAATGATAATTTGCCAAATATGTTCAGAGAGAACATCTAATACTTGTTTTAGTACAAAATATGGTACATGTTTTTAATTTTCCTAAGTAATAAATTTAATAATTCTGTGTGAGAAAATGGATAGAGGAAGAAAGATTTGATGTGATTCCTTCGATGTTACTAGTAGACTTTGTTATTATTTTGTCGACTAAATGACCAGGAGCATATTTAAAAAAACTATTAAACTCTGCAGCTACCCCCCTTGGATCATCCAATAACATCCCGTCCTTTTCTATGACAATAGTTGGGACAGAACTTTGCCTATTTCTAATTTCTGAGACAACATTTCAATAAGTCTTAATAGTATTGTCTGATCTTAGAATACGTTTTTGATAGTGTTCTGTTTTCTTTGATTGTAATAAAAAGGAATGATTTTTCGTACATAAATCTAATTAGATAAATGAAAATACAAAGCTAACTAATGTAAGTTTGTTGAATTTATTATTTATTAATTATTTTTATCTTTCAAAATCACTTAATAAGAATAATGGAGACTTACCTACCTTGGATTTGAAAACAGCTTTTGATTTTATAGACCGTCAGATAATGACAGATTTTGCTGATTTTCTCTTTCCTAAGATTTCAACTACAGAAAATTATTTAATAATTTTTTATCACAACGTACATCTGCAACTAACAATAAATGAATATAAAATTAGTTGCCTAGATGTCAATAATGTTATGCCAAAACACAATTTTATAAATAATCTAGTCAAAATTAGCCAAAATGTTGTATGAAACATGTTACAAAATTCCGTTTTATGTAACTCGTTCATATGTTGTGGGACCTCGCTCTGCTCGTCCTGCAAATATTCACTCATTACATAGAATAAGGCATTTCGTAACTGGTTGCATAAATAGCTGTTATAACTTGTAGCTAGTAATTTAACCGTACCGTTTTAACCACCAATTTTTATTATAATCATAAGAGGTGCCATTAGTTTGGAAGGTATTTGAGAGCCCTATTAATTGAACTATATTAATTTTGGTTTTCGAATATGATCCCATTTAAAACTAGAGGTCAAAGTAGCACTTCGACGACATCGTTCAAATTATTACGTGTTGGGAAGGAATTTTAGAGTACATTCTATAGGTTTTATAGTTCAGTTCATTTTAATATACGACGAAATCCAATTTTAAATTATATTTTCACTCCTTTTTAAGAAAGAGTAAAACTCAATATAAGATATGACACCGTTTTTAGATGTCAATAAGGAAAAATTGCATATTGCAACATTCAAAGGCCCTTATGCAGTATTATATTCAACATTATGAAATAATGTTGTCTATAATATAAACTATGACTTATTTTAAAAACAATATGTCGTAACAATAATATACAGTGTAGTGATAAAGTAGGGAACAAAATTCATAACTGCATTATTTAATGTTTTCAAGCAAAATGCTCGGACAGGTCAATTTTAATATTTAATTAGCTACCTTATAACATAAAATTTTTAGTTATGACGTCATGTATTTTTGCACAATGACGTTAGCATTGGTTTTTTTAAATGACAGCTGTATTTTTTTTTGCTGTTTTTAATAGATGGTCCTATTACTTAAATGATGGTGTAAAATAATGGTAACAATTTTTTTTTGAAAAAATAACTTATCGAAAGAATCCTAATAACACCCCAAAAACAAACATTTAGCGTAAATGTTCAAATTGCTCTCCTTCAACCATTTGGCACTGACCAATACGAGTGTAAACACTTTGTATACTTTGCTCAAGGACTTCAGGTCTAATCTGCTCCACTTCTGCGTGAATTCTTTGCCGTAGCTCTTCTAAATTATTTGGCCTATTAAAATACACCTTTGATTTTAAATAACCCCTACAGAAAAAAAATCTAAGGGTGTCAGGTCTAGGAAACGCGGTGGTCACTCAATTGCCCCTCGACGTCCTATCCACCTTCCGGGAAATGTGGCGTCAAGATATTGACAAACGGTTATTCCAAAGTGGAACTAAATCAAACCGCAAAAAGGCCAAATAACGTGCTGCTGTAAGGTTTCCTTCAAAAAAGTAAGGCCCTATCCAATCCAAACATTTAAGTTCCCTTGGTGTTGACTGTGAGAGTCTTGAGTCCAGTGAGGATTTTCTCTAGACCAATACCTGCAATTATGACGATGTAATGTCCCATTCAAAAAAAAGGTTCCTTCGTCAGAAAAGAGGATATTATTTAAAAAATTGTGGTCTCCATCGCAGCGTAACATTAGTTCTTCGCAAAACTGCAGGCGGCGGTTTGGATGATCCTCGATTAATTCGTGAATAAATTGAACCTTGTAAAAATGATAGTTCTCTTTCTTGAACAACCTCACAACAAAAGAGTGGTCCACATTATTATTTAAGGCTAGCTGCCTTGCAGAATGACGAGGATTTTCTTCACCTTCGAGTAACACATTTAATCTGGTTTCATCGTTTTGGTAAATTTGGTTACCAATTTACTTACTGTAGATCTTACAATAGGCGGTCTATCAGGGTGTTCTTGGTTGAATCATTTATATGCTGATGTGTTCTTAACTTATCACCATATCCAACAATTATTAAAATTTCTATTCTTTCCCGTTCAGCTAAACGTGGCATTTTTTGTTAACGACAAAGATAATTTTAAAAAACTTACTAAATGCGCCTTTTACACATAACTAATGTGAAGTCAAATTTACGAATATTTATAAATCGGTCAAAAGTGTGTACAGACGTGATAATGATAATTTGCAAAAAAAAAGTGTTAACACTCATATCGGTCAATGCCAAATGATATTTGTGCTAAATATTGTTTGTTTTTGGGGTTTTATTAGGATTTTCTTTCATTAACGTTAAATTTTGATTTTTTCGGTAAGTTGTTATTTTTCAAAAATAAATTGTTATTTAAGGTACCAATTTTTTTACACTATCATTTAAGTAATTGGACCATCTATTAAAAACAGCAAAAAAAATTAGGGTTGTCATTTAAAAAAACCAATGATGACGTAATTGTGCAAAAATAGTAAACATTTTATACCATAAGGTGGCTAATTAAATATTAAAATTGACCTGTCCGAGCGTTTTGCTTG